CGACTATGTAGTACAACTTTAGTATGCGGAGCAACCTGTGGAGCTGGAAGCTGAGAACTGGCCATTTTGCAGTACAACTTTAGTACGCGGAGGGGTCATCTCTTGCGACTGAGTCATCTGTCGCTGCTGAGTCATCTCTCGCGACTGAGTCGTCTCTCGCTGCTGAGTCATCTGTGGTTGCTGAGTCATCTCTCATTGCTGAGTCATCTCTCGCTGCCCACTCATAATACACCACTCATCATACACCACTCAACATACACCACTCATCATACACCACTCGTCATACACCCCTCATCATACAAGACTCATCATACATCACTCATCATACACCACTCATCATAACCCAACACTGGTTACAGTTGATTGTTTTGTCAACAGGTAAGTTTGTACTGAAGGTTGAAGTCCGGAGCGCGTGCGTTTGACTGGGGGACGCGCGTGTTTGAGAGAACCGGAACACTCCTATAGGTCAATTAGTTCTTATAGGAAACTTCCGCCGCCGTCTTGCCCGGGAACTGCTTGTATGCTAAGTGAGGTGTGGCAGCGGGGCTTTCATGCCAGTGTTGGATCCTGTGTATTCCCGTGGACCAAACAAAACACGAGTTACAGCCGGGTAGTCCTCGGTCATTTTGGATGCAAGCACCTCAGATCTTCTTCCAATCTGCCGTAATCTGCCCAACAATTCTGCGACCATTCTGTGCCACACTCTAGATAGTGCTTCCCTTCAAATTTGCGCATGAGACTACTTCTACACATTGTATCAAAGCGTTGAGCAGGCTCTAAAAGTATCTAATCCGGAGTTTCAACTTCGGACCTGTCATGACTCATCATGACTATTGACATGGGTTTGATACTGCAAGAATCTTGGGGGGTGCCAGCTTCATGACTGGCAAATTTGCAGGCGCCCGTCAGCCACACTCCATGGCTACACCTAAAAACGAATCCATGTTTTCCTACTCGGAAAACTCAGCCAGTGGCGACTCGCAAATTCACGCAGCCATTGCCCGTCGAACCTGCGCCGCTAAATTCAGGGAACGAGAGGAGAGAAGCAAAAACCATGTTGTGCTCATTGCAACTCTCAGGGTTAAAGGAGGTACAGTAGAACATCTGGGACAATGCAAGTTCTTGTATCATTCATAATATCGATCTATCGAATCTATCATATTGATAGGTGACAAGTGCGGATTGAACAAATATGTCCGAGTTCCTGCAAATGGCATCACTGGCCTCCATTGGAGCGTAAGCAAACATCCTGGCCATTCGAAGGAAAAGCAAAGTAATGCAGAATAGCACAAAGCTCTGATTAAGGACTATTACTGTATATTTGTAATATATGATCATGAAACCTGGGTCCTGGCCAGTTGCTGTTCACTCGTTTTAAAGAACCCATCCTCCAATTGTTTTTCATTCAAGGGATCTTCGGCTTCGTTGTTGAAAAACGTGTCTGATGTGAGAATCCTCCGATGTCCTCCATCATGGTGAAGCCCAAAAGGAGAATCAGGGGCACCAAAGCGACAAGTGTGAAGTCAAAGCTTTTAATTACAGGTACCTTTAGTATGTTACACTCGTCTTCTCAATACAAACAGAAGAATCAACCATACAATTGATGTCCTTCACAGGTGTTGATGTCCCGAGCTTACCGAGCATTGACTAAGCCAGTCTGCGCAAGTCAGTCGTCAGCAAACGACGAGAGGCGCCGCGTCCTCGCTGACGAACTCCCCTTGAACTTCGCCAGTGCCGAAGGCAATAGCTACCTCACGGAAAGGAACCCAGGTGCTTCCGTTCCTTCCTGTGTATTCAAAATATGCGGCACAAAGAAAGTTCCATGACAATGATGTGTCCACACAAAGAAGGCTCTAAGCCAGGCTAGCAAAGGTTATGGTAAAACAGTCATGATGGGCAATTTGCAGAGCTCATCCGACGTGGTAGTCAATAGAAGTCTATGTCATTCTATGTCATATGCTAAACTTGAGCCAATCCAATGTTGGCACGATTGTTGCGAACGGCGCCATGCCTGATCGCGCTCCGTCGCATCTGCCCGAAGCTTTGTGCCATCATACTCAATGTCGACCTTTTGCGGCGTTGTTTGTGGCATGACTTGGGTGGGTACTTTAAAACATGAAAATAGGGAGACCCTCCCCGGGAAGAAGACAAGTCAACCAGAGTCAACCCGAAGCCAGTGGCCGAAGGGTCTCCCTCGTGCACTGCCAGCAGGAACTGCCTCTTGAATACTGAGATGTCTTGAGCCGGGTGGCTTGCTTGGCATCATGTTACCAAAGCTACCATGCAAAAGTAATCGGTGACCTGCACAGAATCAGAAGTGCAGTTCATGATCGAAATCCATCGAAAACCCAAACCCATCAAGCTTGGGTTCTGATCATGAAAAACATTGGAAAAACGGATAGAGTTTAGCTATTGAAAACCCCCTTCCCCTTCTTGAAAACCCGACGGCGTTTGACCACCGGCCCGATCTGCTCTCACAGTTCGGCGGCCCCCACGGCCGTGTGCGACTGCGTGCGGTTGTAGCGCTGGTGCTTCAAACATGCAGGGCTCGAGCCTCAGGGCTCGTCGGCACTGAGCGAACGCATCAAGCTAGGGGTCAGCGGCCAACAGCTGGGATCAAGATGGATCAAGTGGAAAGCCATCCAAGATCCTCTCTAGCACCCCAAGGCAAGCGTGTGAAATCTCAGGTCTTTGCAACCAGTAGATGGCAGGATCAAGTGTCCCGACCTAGAAGCGGTGGCAAGCGTGTCAAATCGGTCGATTTGAACAAAACCCGGTCATTGGTTATTGATACGAGCGCAAGGCACTTGTGCGCCGGACAAGTGCCTACTTTGCCCCCCAAAAGTCGTGTCTCACAGGCGCAGGCAGGTGCTTGCGGATGTTTCTTGGCCACCGCGCCCAGTGTCGAAAACTACGGTGAACGTCTGATGAGGAGCACCTACATGAACCTCAGTTTTACAAAAGCAAAATTTGAGACCCAGCAAACAAAGTGTGCTTATTCATGTTTATTGCATGTAAACACTGCAAACATCTGCTATCATCTGCTAGTCTTGAATTATCCCAAGGATTCCAAAGCTGTGCTGGGGCCAACATGTTTGTGCATTCTTCTGGGCCACATGTTGCCAACCTGTCGGACCTATCGAATACGAAAATAAGTCCGACTCGGTCGCGGTTCGTCGAGCCTCCCCAAAGTAGGCGGTCTTGTAAGCCACAGTTTTGCCGTCCTTTTGAACCTCAAGAATCGACTAACGGTGTCGACTTTCTGTTGAACACACACTCCGCACACTCCAGGCGGTGAGCGAAAAAATGAGCTTTGCTGTGGGCGGTGAGCTTAAAAGTTTAGCCATTGTATGAGATTTGTCTTACTTCCCTGCGACTCAAGTAAAACACAAGTTTCTATGTTGCACGAGTTGATTCATTTGGCTCAGATGCTTGGCTCATTCTACATTGCGGTTTTGACCCTTCTGCTCACAGCCAACAGTGAAGCACAAGCCATGCTCCCGGCGGGTACGTATTGCTTTTTCAATGGAATGCTATGGATGGAAGGTGCCTGCGTACAGCGCGTCACCGGTCTCTAGCAGCCCTCGCATGTCAGCGTTTTATTGCCGGCAAAAAGACTGTCTACCTGTGTTGTCTCTGGCCAACAATGCCCTTCCTGCAAGGTCGTGTCAGGTTGGAGGCATCAGAAAAAAACTCAAGACCTGCCTCTTTCGCTGCCCAAGGACTGTTCAGCCAGGCCTAAATAAATCATGTCAGGATCGTGGCTGTGAGTATTGTCTCTAATGTGTTTCAGGCCATGTTTGATCAAAGCCGAAAACCAATGCAGCTCCCCTGTTCTATATGAGCAGGGCCAAAGTCTAGTCAAATAATAAGGGCGAGTCATGCACCAGTTCATTAGATAAGGGCAACACACTGTGTGCAGAATCTTCCGAACTGGCAGCAAAGATGCATCCAAGTGGCATAGGAAGTCTGGAGGACAAGGGAGAGGACGCCTCGTCAACTGAGATGAGTCCAACTAATTACTTGACTACCACTGGAAGACCGAGTGAACAAGCCAACATCGGTCCAAGGGACCATGGATGTCTTGTCCATTTGCGAATACATGCATGTCATCAAACAAGACATGCCGCCGCGCCCGCGAGTCACACGTTTCCGCAAACATTATGGCATGGTTGTTTTCAAGCACAAGGTTTTGTGATTGCGCAAAAAAAAAAACAACTTAACCTTTCGCAATGCCAACACACCTGCACAGCGAAGCAAAGCAGGCGCCGCCCTGGTGGCGTTGAAAACAAACAACAAACTTCCGTGCAAATTGGGCACCAGCCCCTTGACAGTTTGTCAACATCCGAAGAATATTGCACAAACTCTGTTTGCACACAGTCTTTTTGTAAATCAAATTTGTTATTCTTGGTATTGTGAAGTGTTCTGAAATATTGTTTGGACGTTGATAACCCTGCACACTGCCAGCCTGTTGTTTGATTGAAGCCTGGGTCACAACTGAAGATGCAAGTGTTTCAGGTGTCGTGAGTCAGCAACCGAAACAGCCAAACGTGGATTCTCAAGCATCCATTTATGCCAAGCAGCATAAGTTAGTGATGGTAACGGAACATGCGGGAGTTTTTTTTTCGGTATCGGAAGGGGCGGGCTTGAGCCCTAAACATCACCAAGAGCATGCGTTGCCAAGCATGGACACTGCATGTTGTTTCACAAGTTTGCCTGCATCTGCATTTGTGTGAACGTCCTGCCCCCCCCACGTTCTAGATACTCAACATGCATGCTGTCAAGCCCGTTCCTGACATTACATGATGTTACATGACAATTCTGGAGCTAGTGCGGTCTCCAGCAGCAAAAGAGATTGAACAAAAAACTTTGGAATGACTTTCAGGTATGTCACTCAAGGACAGCCACAACCACCATTCCGAATATTCTAAAATAATTGTGAGTCTTGCGCATCCGAGCCTCAAATTGGCACCACGCTCTTGGCCTCTTGAACTCGGCACTTTTGCTTCCCCCGATCACTCATGGGACTCTCACATATTCGGCACCTGCCCAGAGGTGACTGTGAATATGCTCTATGGGCTCGCGCAAAGGTCCACCCAAACTCTCCGCAAGAAAGTGCCCCTTTGCCAAGCTCACTTGTGGAGATGGCATCATTGAATCAAGCAAGCCTCTCATGCATTCAAGGTGTTCACAAGCGTTCACGCAATGCAAACCCTGAACCCTAAGCCCACCCGATGCTCCTCCTCCCACGCTCCCCGTTTCATCCAAGCAGCTCGCTGGAACTCGGGTGACAGGAATTCCTCCGAGCTTCTCTTTTTCTTCTGCGCATTCAGCGGAGAAAGTTGCATGATTTCCTGCAACCTGGCATCGATCACAAACAAACCGTCAGAACGGGTCTCTTTCATCAACCATGTTCATCATGGAACGGAGCGCATTCAAACATCAGAAAAAGTGAAAACTGGGTCCATCCCATTCCCTACGATGGTGGATGATGATGGTAAATGAAGGCCTTTCTCAAAAAATTGTGATAATCGTTTATTGACTGTTGCAGGTCATCGGGCACACACAATGTGCAAAAAGACACACAAAAAATCATTCAGTCAGGCCTCTTCCGCTTCGCATGGCTCGAGGCCTTGGCCACCTCTTGGAGTTCGGGATTTTCGCTCAAATATTTCCGCAGCGCCGCTTCGGCCTCCTGTGGGGAAAGCCGGTTGGTCCATCCCGTCCAAGCCCCGAAATGCTTGGACCATGGCGGATGCCACCCGACCAAGCGCCATGTCCTTCCGATGTGGCTGTGGCAGGTCATTTTGACACATTTAGGAGCCTCCACCCCTCCGGTCGCTGGTGTGGTACCCCTTTGGTCGCCGGGAGCATAGGCATCACATCGGCGATCACAGGGACAGTCGCCCGCCCAGCTGTCGCTGTCCTCTCTCTGTTTTTTGCTCTCTGCCCACTTTGGTGTGCCGTACCTCGAATCGTCAAGTCGTGTGCAGACGGAGGATGGTCGATTGAGACATTTGCGCGGCTTGTTTGAGGCTAGCTTAGTCCGTGGCTTACCCAAGGTTAATTAAACACCCCGCGTCATCGCCCAAAAATACGACATAAAACAATCCTGGTGACAGGTGCCAACTTCAAAGACGGTTGATGTCTCGATTTGACGAAACGATCTGACAGGTCACTCCGCCTCCGCGAGTGTTTGCTAGGATTACTGGATCTGCAAAGATCCGCAGTCTGGTTCAACAAACATCTGGAACTCTCTCAAGTTCATCTTAATCAATCTCTGTCCGAACATCGCAGCTCGCAGCACGTCACCCTTTGAGTGTCCAACACAATGCACTTGGAGCTGGAATCATTGGTGCCACCTCCAAGGTGTCCATCCTGCGACGCTGAGCGGAAACTGACTGGCGAACCGTCATGCGAAGTCATGCGAACCGAGCGGAACAGTGTAAGCGAAATTCAAGCGACCCATCCAGTTCTTGCTCAACAAGGAAATGCACATTGAACATCATTGAACAAAATGCTTCAGACAAAATAGACCAAGGATGAAAGAGGTCAGATGAAAACAAGAGATCATTCTTGGCAGTGGGAGGAGGAATCCTATTTTTTGGACGAAAGACTCGAAAGACTTGACATCCTCGAAGTGAAGCTCGGCAACCTCCCCATGAGCCAGATGTGGAGAGGCAAGTCCAAACATGAACTAAGAAAGCCTGGAAAGTGCATGAGACCTGATTCAGAGGTAGCAAAGAGAATGGCAAGCAAAAGCCCTGCATACAACATCGTACAACTATATATGTGCCTGTTTTCTATGTGACTCTGTTTATCCGACCTACCTTCTTTTGGAAGAAATGACAGAACGCACATACCTTCATCTTGCCGACTCATTTCGAAAAACCCATGTCGTGCCAGCAACTTCCAGGACTGGTGGCACCAGAACCTCATAATTCATAATTATAGAAGTGAGCTCAATGAATTGAAAGGTGCAACTTGAACTCCTTGTAGTGATCGTATGGCCGCTTCTTGTCCAGCTCTTGCCCGCACAAGTAACAGCCTGGGCAGCTAAGCGCACAGTCACGCACGTGCGTGATCTCAAGCATTCCATGACACCCTCACAGACATGGTCCGGACAAAGGCCTCAGACTTGCTGACCATTCTGACATGGCGCTCCCTGAGCATCCAACTATGTGTGCCGCAAGGGCATCTGATGTGGTTGCACCCTTCCGTCCTTGCGAAAAGTCTGGCATGACGATGATATCATTCGTCAAAAGCACCTCTCCTTTCGTACGGCTTGTGGCACTTTGGGCACCTCTCAGGATAAGGTGCCCTAACTTCTTTGTGCATCCCGTGAAAATCCATGAACCGTGCACCCAACATCACCCAACCTGCGCAGAACCGCTTCTGCCATCTTTTCTTCCAGGAAGGTCCTGCCGCGAATCATCTGTATACAGTAATAAGGGCCAAGTCAGCTGCCTTTTTCTTCTACCAAGTCAGCTGAATCTATTTGTGTCTTTTTCTGCTGGGGCGAGGGGGAACATAGCTGTGGCGGAATTGCATGTCTGCCTGGTCATTTCGCACAGCTGTGCATGACACAGCAACAAAAAGGAACATACTAACATACTCTCACAAAAGAATGCCGCAGCCTGATTCGGGTTTCTCCGTCCTGGGCAACTGGTCAGCTATCCAGCAGTCAGCAAAGAGCCGACAAAGGGTTGGCCGTGTGTGGAGAAATACCGCAGCCAAGACACCTTCTCCACTTCATCGCACTTCAATGGACCATGCTCTGGTTGCATGCACCAGCGGCAAGTGATTTTCCCACACTCTGGATCCAAACATCTCACGATCCCATCCTTGAAAAGCATTCAGCAGCAACCCTCTGAACACTCTCTCTAGGTAAACACACATATATATATATATGTAATAAACAAGTATGTAAAAATATCATAGTTCATTAGCTTATACAGTATATACGTATATTACATTATATTACCGTATCTCTTTGAGTCCTCCAAGAGCGGTCAAGCGGCATTTCGGTCACTCATCTGGACCATGAAGTCGCATGAGGGACCTTGGTGCCAAATCACTTGCCATGAAGAAAGGATGGCATCACGTGTCATTCGATGTCATTCACATGGATCTGCATAGATCTGCGTAGGTATCCTCCATTCACCCAACTGTCCGCAGTTATTGGCAGTTGTCTGCTGGGACCCGTGCACGCGACCAAATCTTCTAAGCCAGAGGCAGCTGCCTGCAATGCAGCTGATCGCCTTGAGTATCTGACCTCAGTTTGTGCAAACCATTCGGCCAAAGAATGCTCCTAGCAAACACCCCAAGCAGGTTGAGAATTGGAAAGCCATCTGCCATGAGACTCAGGCCAAAGAATCCGGGTTACTCGAGTTCGACATTACACGTCAGACACGCGCGACTCAGCGGACTTCAAGGTGGAGAAGAAACACGCTACTCGCGAGGTGCAGCTGAATGGCATAATCTTTGCGTGGCAAAGCCTCACGGCAATGTAGCGGAGAAGGATGACACAAAGATTTAAAAAAAGGATTCGAGCGCATGGTGGTTCAACAACTGCCATTGCTGCAACAAAACAGCATTTGACAAGTTTCAGTCCATCGAATTAGAATCCGCGAATAGGCCGAAGGTGTGAAGGGAGAATGTGTGTGTGTGCGCGCGGGCACGTGCCCGAGAAGGAAACAAAACACAAATAGACGAGGGCCTTCTGTAGCGAAGAGTCCAAGAAGTGCCCTTCGCAGCCAGAAGTGTCCAAACAGCGAAGGACAGTCGCACTGACACGAGGTGGCTCTGAAGATGACCTGAGAATTCCACGACACCAAAGCTGTTGTCACTTGTCACTGATGGTCATGTGCATGTGAGTATGTGTTCAATATGGCTATGTTGACCATGCGATGATTTGCGAGTCCGATGTGCCTAGATCGCACTGCAAAGAAGGGGGCCATTGCACCCTTTCCAACAAGCCCCACAACAGAGTCCACATGCAGTGTATGCGGCGCCGGCAAGCTTCTTCCATGCGGGAAAGCACTGCGAAGGAAAACGGAAAGCTATCTCTAACCCATTAATTAATAGTCCTGACAAAAATGTTATTGACGAACATTTTTCAGATCCTTGAAGACACCTTGTGGGCCGAAGCTTTGTTTGTAGTCTACGGATCCCCTAAAATATTGGACGCTGATCATCAAACTCATCATTTCAGAGGCAAACCGGCATGCCTTATTCAAAGTGAGTTTGGACTCGATTAGCGCCCTACATGTTGTTGAACAATAGTGGTCTATTAATGCCTGATTAAGTCGTTCAGAAGGACCTCCAGGTGCTTGCCCTCTGAGGGGAGTAGTCGAGGTGAGGGCAGTCAGCACACCCATGACATTTCGTTCTGGCCGTCCGGCGGAGATAAAGAACTCCAATGGAAAAACCGTGTGGAGTGTCTAGCTCGATGAATGATGAATGATGAATGCACTTGAGTCGCTTGATCAGTTGATCCTTCGAAGGAAGTGCTACTGACGGTGGTGTGAAATCTTGCATTGCTGACTGACTCGGGGCAAACAAGCAAAACTGTTTCCGCCGAATAGGTTTCTCATTGTGGACAAAAAAAGGAACAAAACAAAAAGATTGGGCCGTGGCACGAGCCGCCGGCAGATAGGTTCAGCGTAAACAAGCCCTGGCCAAAGAATTCCGCTGCTGCACGTTTAACCTCAGCATAAGGGGACTGAGCCACAACAAACAGCATTTGCATACGGTGGCTGCACCGAGATTAAAAACACCCTGAAAGCACGGGCACGGTGCATATTCAACACTTGTGCTTCTGTGGACGGATTAATATGGATTAATTATCTTCCAGCCAGGCCAAACACAAACCCCTCACCCCCAAATCCTGGGTGCTTTCTTTTCACTTCGTGACATACACACACGCAATACTCATGCATGCATGGATGGATGGATGGACGGACAGACGGAGGGATGGATGGAGATCTAACGGTGCATTCGTGCAGTATATACAATACACTAATAGACACAGCGCCCAAGAGATCTTGTTCTGACGGCATCCTACAGCACAAGATCTGCCTGAAGTGTTGTCCGTATTGTCCGTACTGGCACCGGCACACTCTACGCACAGCACCTCTTTCGGGACCATGAAAGTCCTTCCATAAACTATGCTGAAGCTAGAGCCGTTTTACACTAGCTGCAGTATTCTGGGGACAATCTTGCGGGTTGTATGTCGAAACCTGCAGTGGCTCGTAGGGCTCCATTATACCTGCACAGCCTTCCGCGGCAAATTTACAGTACATAATTGATAGTACTACCCCCTGCATGGTGCTGGGCAAAACTGACACATGTGGACCGAACTTCCCCAAGCAGAACAGGATCATCCACAGGCATGTCAGTTCCAGTGGCTCATATCAGTCGGATGTCGCCGAATCCGATCACCCTTTCTTGGGATCAAACGTGCGTGACCCATGCGGTGCCTACCCGGCCGTGACATCCAGCGATGTCGATCAGAGTGTCGATCAGTGCACAGTCGACAGGGGACGGATGAAAGTATTTTGGAATAATGTCAGGGGAAACGCATCTTCCAACAAATAAACGCCTGGTAGTTCCTACAAATGCGCTCGGCACCTAGTTGTTGTGGGCTTTCGCCTCCATCCAAGAGACACAGGGAATGCAAAAGCCATGACCCTCAGCCGCATTGCATCGCAGCTCCTCCTGGGACAGGAGGTCCAAGCAATCGGAAGTAAACATGACATAACACATTTGCAAATTTGCGAGGTTCCTGTGTAGAAAGAAGAAGGTAAACGTCAAAAGCTCTTCCAAATGATGCCTCTAAGTTTCGAAAACATCTGGAAACCTAATTTGTGTAACACATGGTGCCCACAATTGCCCACAGGAAGAGAGGTCCGGGAGCCGAACGGGGTGTGTGCCGCTACCTGCTACGGGGTGTAGTGGTTCCGCTTCTCTAGGTCCAGGAACTATGGGCCTTCGCAGGTGGTCTTTTTGCGGCACATGAAGGCCCAGGCCCCGTGTGGCAGCTCGGCCTCCGGCAACAACTCATCATCAAAGCAGCAGCCGCAGGTTCCAAGGCCGCCCACTGCTTTAAGCTGCGCAACCCGTCCTGCTCTCACCTGTGCAAATTCGGTCGGGCACTGGCTAGCTGAAAATGACACGAAGACAGGATCTCGCAGCAATGCACGATGATGTCACTTAGTTTCTCCCCCATCATGGTGCCTGCTTCCGCTTTGATAACGCCTTCTGGATCCCCACTGCTTCGCGACCGAGCTCCATCTCCTAATAGAAGCGAGGTGCCGAGCAATCTTGTGAAAAGTGTCCAACGATGTTGAACACTTAGTTGTGAACTGCCACATCAAAGAAAATTAGTCTGCACGTCGGATCCAACAATGCAAAGGGGGCAAACCTGCCATTTGTTGCCCACAGTCCTTTTGCAAGAGCTTCGGGATCTCGCAAGGAGGAGCTAACTTTTGCGGTCGCTTTGTCTTGTTGCCATTGACCTCTTCACTGTCCTGCGATGAAAAAAGTGACTCCAACCTGCCTCCAACCCGCGCACTTTGCATTGTTCATTCACCAAGTCCAGAGAATGCAGGGGGTTGAATTCTTCAAGATTTGGGAAGTCCCTGGACGACAGCTATAAACAGCTATTGACACGGCACACGCATTAACAACAAATGTGTAGCTTCAAGCGTTCATTGCTGGATGGTTGACACACGGTAGCAGCAATAGGCCCAGTGTGTCCACGAGTGGGGTGCCAAATTCTGCGTTGCACTTCCATGTCACAACATGGTCAGTGTCCTCTACCATCGCTCGGGCCTCAGAGTATGAGCCAGCCTGAATGCCGGTATGAAGCAATATGAAGCAGTCTGCATGCGAAACGCGGGACATCATGAGAAGTCATTAGCAAGGTGATGACTTGTGCTTAGTAGGGAATGAGGGATTGGACCGAATTGGACCCAATGGAATCTCTATTGGGGGCCCAGTCCGTTATTCCCTACTAAGCACACGTCAGTGTGTGCGTGTGTGTGTGTGTAACCCTTGGAATCAGAGGGAACCTTAAGGTTTGGAAC